TCTTGGGTGACCTCTGGAGGTTCTGATCTCCTCAAAAAGCTCTTGGGCACCACACCAAGGGTCTCCTCCTCCATGGAAGGTGCTCTTGGGTGACCTACAAAGGTTCTTGGGTGCTCTACAAGGTTCTGGGCTCCACAAAAGGCTGTTGTCCACCACATAGAGGTTCTTCTCTTCCATGGAAGGAGCTCTTGGGTGGCTTAGGAAGGTTCTGGGCTCCACAAAACACTGTTGTCCACCATATAGAGGTTCTCCTCCTCCATGGAAAGGTCACTTGGGTGACTTAGGAAGGTTCTTTGGTGACCTATGAAGACTCTGGGCTCCACCAAATGCTGTTGTCCACCACGTAGTGGTTCTCCTCCTCCATGGAAGGTGCTCTTGGGTGACCTACAAAGACTCTGAGCTCCATGAAAGGTGGTTGTCCACCACGTAGAGGTTCTACTCCTCCACAGAAGGTGCTCTTGGGTGACCTACAAAGGTTCTTGGGTGTTCTACAAGGATCTGGGCTCCACAACAGGGTGTTGTCCACCATGTAGAGGTTCTCCTCCTCCATGGAAGGTGCTCTTGGGTGACCTACAAAGGTTCTTGGGTGTTCTACAAGGATCTGGGCTCCACAACAGGGTGTTGTCCACCACGTAGAGGTTCTCCTCCTCCACAGAAGGTGTTCTTGGGTGACCTACAAAGGTTCTTGGGTGTTCTACAAGGATCTGGGCTCCACAACAGGGTGTTGTCCACCATGTAGAGGTTCTCCTCCTCCATGGAAGGAGCTCTTGGGTGACCTCTGGAGGTTCTGATCTCCATCCAAAGCTCTCGTGCACCACACCAAGGTTCTCCTCCTCCATGGAAGGAGCTCTTGGGTGACCTCTGGAGGTTCTGATCTCCATCCAAAGCTCTCGTGCACCACACCAAGGTTCTCCTCCTCCATGGAAGGAGCTCTTGGGTGACCTCTGGAGGTTCTGATCTCCATCCAAAGCTCTCGTGCACCACACCAAGGTTCTCCTCCTCCATGGAAGGAGCTCTTGGGTGACCTCTGGAGGTTCTGATCTCCATCCAAAGCTCTCGTGCACCACACCAAGGTTCTCCTCCTCCATGGAAGGAGCTCTTGGGTGACCTCTGGAGGTTCTGATCTCCATCCAAAGCTCTCGTGCACCACACCAAGGTTCTCCTCCTCCATGGAAGGTGCTCTTGGGTGACTTATGAAGACTCTTATCTCCATGAAAGGTGGTTGTGGACCACGTAGAGGTTCTCCTCCTCCATGGAAGGTGCTCTTGGGTGACCTCTGGAGGTTCTGATCTCCATCCAAAGCTCTCGTGCACCACACCAAGGTTCTCCTCCTCCATGGAAGGAGCTCTTGGGTGACCTCTGGAGGTTCTGATCTCCATCCAAAGCTCTCGTACACCACGTAGAGGTTGTGTTGACCAAGCAAAACTCATCTGGCGACCATCTGGCAACCGCTCAAGCATCTCCAAGTAGGTTGAGATCCTCCACCACGTGGTTCTTCACCATCTCCCTGAGGAACCAAGGTGGTTTTTGGTCAAGGACATCATTGTCCTCGTGTCACCGTGAAGCACTTTTCGCGCAGTAGTAGGTGGCCGTGTCGTCGGCCCTGAGGTTGTTCATCTGCAGCGTGACCGTGCTCTGGGAGTTGTCCCTGGAGATGGTGGTACGACCTTGAAACCTCAACCCGTAGGAGATGCCACCACCACTCCCAATACCCCCGATCCACTCGAGATTCTTCTCGGGTGGTTGTCTCACCCATCCCATGTCGTAGCTGGTGATGGTGAAGCCGTTGACCTTGCAGACGAGGCGCAAGGACCCCCCGGGTGGTTGAAGGCCACCTCCGGACTCGACCAATTCCACGGCCGCCCGTAACCCTGGAGAAGATGGAAGGAGATAATTAAATGACCCATTTTGGACAGAATTGAGCCCAAAATTCACCCTCGAGAAGGTGGTTGAAGGTCCTACCTGGCAGGGCCACGAGGAGGAGGAGGAAGGTGAAGGTCAAGTGGTTGTCCATGATGGATGAGGGAAGGTAGGGGAGATGCCACCATGGTGGTACCATCGGCTTTTAAAGCCCCTTCGAAGCCTCATTTGCATAAGGAAGCTCCACCCACCTTCACTCAAACCCCGCCCCCCCCTTCGTTAATTGCCCAAATCCATCCTCGAGGTGTTGATTAATTAATTAATTAATTAATTAAGGGATTAATTGTTGTTAATAAAGAGGGCGGTTGGGTTGTTGTTGACGACGGAGTCTCCGGGGAGTGGAGGGCAGGTGGTGGGGAGAATTAATTAATTAATTAGTTAATTAAGTAACAGACGATCGCTCAAGGGAATTAATTGCTGGTGCGCGTTGAATTAATGACCAGGACTCCACGGAATTAATTAATCTCCATTAATTAATTGGATATATAGGGAATTAATTAATTGTAACGGCTCTAAGGAGCTGAGCGCAGAGTTAATTAAAGGATTATTAATTAATTGTGATTAATCATTGGTGTAGAGTGAAATAATTAATTAATTGCAATGTCCACAGGGAATTAAGCACAGAAATTAATTAACTGCAGGATGTCGATTAATTAATCAGATATACAAGGACTTAATTAATTGCAACATCTCTAAGGAGGTGAACAGAGAATTAATTAAAGGATTATTAATTAATCGCCATTAATCATTGGTGAACAGTGAATTACTTAATTAATTGTCATGCCCACAGGGAATTAAGCCCAGAAATTAATTAACTGCAGGATGTCGATTAATTAATCAGATATACAAGGACTTAATTAATTGCAACATCTCTAAGGAGGTGAACAGAGAATTAATTAAAGGATTATTAATTAATCGCCATTAATCATTGGTGAACAGTGAATTACTTAATTAATTGTCATGCCCACAGGGAATTAAGCCCAGAAATTAATTAACTGCAGGATGTCGATTAATTAATCAGATATACAAGGACTTAATTAATTGCAACATCTCTAAGGAGGTGAACAGAGAATTAATTAAAGGATTATTAATTAATCGCCATTAATCATTGGTGAACAGTGAATTACTTAATTAATTGTCATGCCCACAGGGAATTAAGCCCAGAAATTAATTAACTGCAGGATGTCGATTAATTAATCAGATATACAAGGACTTAATTAATTGCAACATCTCTAAGGAGGTGAACAGAGAATTAATTAAAGGATTATTAATTAATCGCCATTAATCATTGGTGAACAGTGAATTACTTAATTAATTGTCATGCCCACAGGGAATTAAGCCCAGAAATTAATTAACTGCAGGATGTCGATTAATTAATCAGATATACAAGGACTTAATTAATTGCAACATCTCTAAGGAGGTGAACAGAGAATTAATTAAAGGATTATTAATTAATCGCCATTAATCATTGGTGAACAGTGAATTACTTAATTAATTGTCATGCCCACAGGGAATTAAGCCCAGAAATTAATTAACTGCAGGATGTCGATTAATTAATCAGATATACAAGGACTTAATTAATTACAACATCTCTAAGGAGGTGAACAGAGAATTAATTAAAGGATTATTAATTAATTGTGATTAATCATTGGTGTGCAGTGAATTAATTAATTAATTGCCTTGTCCACGGGGAATTAAGCACAGAAATTAATTAACTGCAAGATCTCCATTAATTAATCAGATATACAGGGAATTGATTAATTGTAACAGCTCTAAGGAGCTGAGCGCAGAGTTAATTAAAGGATTATTAATTAATTGTGATTAATCATTGGTGTAGAGTGAAATAATTAATTAATTGCAATGTCCACAGGGAATTAAGCACAGAAATTAATTAATTGCGATATCTCGAGGGAATTAATAATCGATAGGCAGGGAATTAATTAATTGTAACGGCTTTAAGGAGCTGTGTGTGGAATTAATTAAAGGACTATTAATTAATTGTGATATCTCTAAAGAATTAATCACCGGTGTGCACTGAATTAATTAATTACAATGTCCTCAAGGAATTAATCAGAGAAATTAATTAATTGCACGATCGTAATTAATTACGATGTCCCCAGGGAGATCAGGGTACGTGGAATTAATTAATTGGGATATCACTAAATAATTAATCAAAGATAAACACGGAATTAATTAATTAATTAAAATTTCTCTGGGGAATTAATCAGGGAAAATAATTAATTGCATTATCTCGAGGGAATTAATCACAAATATACACGAAATTAATTAATTAATTACAAGCTCTGCAGAGCCCTCATTACTGATTACACTGAATTAATTAATTGCCAGTTGCCCTGATAATTTAATTACTCTGATTAATTTAATTGCAATCTCTCCCTGATCATTTAATTACCCTGATTAATTAATTGCAATCACTGCAGAACCCTGATCATTTATTTCTATTAATTAATTTAATTGCAATCTCTGCAGAGCCCTTATAATTTAATTACTCTGATTAATTAATTACAATCTCTGCTGAGTCCTAATCATTTTTTGATATTAATTAATTTAATTACAATCTCTGCAGAGCCCTGATCATTTAATTACCCTGATTAATTAATTGCAATCACTGCAGAGCCCTGCTCATTTATTTCTATTAATTAACTTAATTACAATCTCCACAGAGCCCTGATCATTTAATTACCCTGATTA